GATCTACATGTGACCTCTGTCCTGAGGGACGGACAACAGAAAAGTGGGTGAAGGGAGACGTCGGACAGGACAAGGTATAACAAAATAATAATTTATAAATTATCAAGGGCTCATGAAGGAGGGGGGAGCGGAAAGGGAGGGGAAAGAAAGAGGACCTGATGCCAGGGGCTTAAGTGGAGAACAAATGTTTTAAGAATGATGAGGGTAATGAATGTACAAATAAGCTTTACACAATTGATGTATGTGTGTATGGGTTGTGATAAGAGATGTATGAGCCCCTAATAAAACTATTGAAAAAAAAGAACTAAAGGGAAAAATTCAAACCTGGAATTGTAACATGGAATAATTCCATAGGTAAAATACTGAATGATGCAGGAAGCATCAAAGGAAGATGTAATAAATAGTCACTGTACCAAAAATAATAAGTCAACACTCGCCATTTCAAGAGGTAGCATATGATCAAGAACCATTGGTACTGAAGGAAGAAGTCAAGCTGCACTGAAGGTATTAGCCAAAAACAAAGCTCCAGGAACTGATATAATACCAACTGAAATGTTTCAACCATCCGACGAAGGACTAGAAGCACGGATCTATGCCAGGAAATTTGGAAGACATTTACTTGGCACACTGACTAGAAGAGTGTGTCCATTCCAATAAAAAGTGACCCAACAAAATGCTCAAATTATAGAATAATATCACTAATATCACATGCTGGTAAAACTTTACTGATTATCATTCAACAATGGTTGCAGTAGTACATTGATATAGTACATTGACAGGGAGCTGCCAGAGGGTCAAGCCTGATTCAGGATTCAGAACAGGATGTGGAATAAGGGATATTATTGCTGATGTCAGCTGGATCTTGGCTCAAAGCAGAGAATACTAAAAAGATGTTTACTTGGGCTTTATTGACTATGTGATGGCATTCAACTATGTGGACCACAACTAAGTACGGCTAGCCTTGAGAATAATGGGAATTACAGAACACTTCATTGTGCTCATGCAAAACCTGTACAGGAATCAAGAGGCAGTTGTGCGAACAGAACAAGGGAATACTATATAATTCAAAATCAAGAAAAGTGTGTTTGAATCCTCTCAGCACACTTATTTAATCTATATGCTGAGCAAATCATCAGAGAAGCTGGATTATATGGAGAAGAATGTGATATCAGGATTGGAAGAAGGCTTATTAACAACCTGCGATATGCAGGTGACACAGCTCGCCTGCTGACAGTGAGGCGGACTTGCAGCACTTGCTGGTGAAGACAGAGGACAGCAGTCTTCAGGATGGACTACAACTCAGTGTAAAGCAAACCCAAATCCTCACCGCTGGCCCAATAGATAACACCGTGATAAACAGAGAAGACTGAAGTTTTAGGATTTCACCTTGCTTAGATCCACAATCAAAGTTTGGGAAGCAGCAGTTCAGAGACCAAAGGATGCATTGTAATGGGTAAATCCGCTGCACAAGACCTCTTCATGATGGTGAAAAACAGGGATGTCACTCTGAGGACTCTAGTGAGCCTGACCCGCGCCATGGTATTTCCAATGGCCTCATATGCATGTGAAGCTGGACACTGAATGAGGGAGACCAGATAAGAATCAATGCATCTGAATTACGGAGGAGAAGAGTAATGAGAGCACCATTGAAGGCCAAGAGAGCACATAGATCTGCCTTAGAAAAAGGCCAGCCAGACGCGCCTTAGAAATGAGGATGGCGAGACTTGTCTCGCATACGTTGGACACACTAGCAAGAGAGGCCAATCCCTGAAAGGGACATCATGCTTGGTAAAGTAGAGGGGCAGTGATAAAGAAGACCCTTGGCAAGATAAAGTGACACAATGGCCGCCAACAATGGGCTCAAACATAACAATTTTGTGGATGGCACCCAAAAAGATCGTTTCTCTGTTTGTTGTATGTGGGATCTCTGTGAGTTAGAATCAACTGGATGGCAGCTAACAGTAACAACTGCCAAATCATGGAGAATCCTGGTACAGCCAAGTGGACACTAGTCATCTAAGCAAAAGCTGTTTCAATAAAGGGAAAGAGGCAGAAGGTTTCTGACAATATTAAAAAACACACATCTTCATTAAAAAAAAAAGTCTCCCGTTTGACTTTCCATTTAAAAATATTCTTTTATCTGAATGTAAAATTTTATTCGTCTATGTTATTACAGTCAGTGACAATCCCGCCAGAGAGAATTCAGGCATTTCATCAAACATTTAAACATATGCTTTTAAGTGCTTCTTGGTAGAGAATTAACTATTACTTACACAGCCATCATGAACATTCAGGGTTGCTTCAAGTTTTAATCTTTGGATAAATTCTCTTCTTCCTGTGCAAAAATAAAGAGTTAAATAAATTAACTGTTGAGAAAAAATATAAAGGAGAAAAGGAAATTCAAAGGAAAAAGGACCATTCAATAAATGGTGCTGAAACAACTAGATAACCACATTTAAAAGCACGAACCTAGACAGACCTCACATCTTTCTCAAAAAAATCACTCAAATGAGTCATAGAAACCTAAGTGTTAGATAAAACTACACAGCTTCTACCCTGAATAGCCAGAGCAATACAGAAGCAAACCAATCAGGGAAGGAGGTCTCACACTTTCTAACCCAATTAGATAAAACTACACAGCTTCTACCCTGAATAGCCAGAGCAATACAGAAGCAAACCAATCAGGGAAGGAGGTCTCACACTTTCTAACCCAAAACAAATGACAGGCACACCTAACTTCAGAGTTCTTTTGCTTTTCTGGCTGCTTTATGCTTTACAAATACTATATCTATATTTTTAAACAATGGCAGGTTTGTGGTAAACCTGTCCAGTGAGTATACAGGCATCACTTTTCCCCAACAGCATATGTTTATTGCTGTCTCTGTGCCACATACATTTTGGTAATTCTCACAATATTTCAAATTTTTCTGCACACTATTTCCACACTTCACAGACTACAGTACAGTGTACACATAACTTCCGTACACATTGGGAAACCACAAAGTTCATGTTACTCGCTTTATCGCAATACCTGCTTTACTGCAGTTGCCTGAAACTAAACACATAATATCTAAAACAGCGGTTCTCAATCTGTAGGTCGCAACCTCTTTGGGGGGTCGAACGACCCTTTCACAGGTGTTACCTAATTCATAACAGTAGCAAAATTACAGCTATGAAGTAGCAATGAAAATAATTTTATGGTTGGGGGGCCACCCAACATGAGGAACTGTATTAAAGGGTCGTGGCATTAGGAAGGTTGAGAACCACTGATAAAAAGTATACCTAAGGAGAATATTGTTACTGAGGTCAGATAGATCTTGGTTGAGAATACCAGAAAGACGCTTCCTGGTGCTTCAATGACTACGCAAAGGCACTGGACTGCATTGCTGGCTGGAATCTAAGAAGATCTGAAGTACCTACTGAGGAAGACCAGACTGTAGCCTTTAGTATGTATTCTAACTCAGTGTAAGAAAATTAAAATCCTCACAACTGGACCAGTAGACAACATCATACCAAATGAAACAAAGATTGGCGGTGCCAAGGATTTTACTCTGCATGGATCCATAGTCAGTGCTCAAGGAAGCAGAGGTCAAGAAGTCAAGCAACATATCACACTGAGAAAATCTGCTGCAAAAGATCTCTTTTCAAGTTGTTAGAGAGCAAAGATGTTACAATGAGCATGAAGGTGTGCCTGACCCAAACCTGGTACTTTCGATCTTCTCATGTGCATGCAAAAGTTAGGCAATGAAGACAGAAGACCAGAGAAGCATCAATGCATTTAAGTTATGGTGACGGAGAAGAATACTAAACACGTATCACAGCAACTAAATCTGTTTTGGAAGTACAGCTGGATTGTTCCTTGAAAACAACAATTGTGAGACTTTCATGTACTTTGGACATATTATCTATCGGAAGGGACCACTTCCCAGAATAGGTCCTATTTAGTAAGGTTGGTGGTCAGTCAAAAGGAGGAAGACAGATTGAGACAGTAACTGCAACAATGCGCTCAAACAACGACAACATAACATTGTGAGCCGGTGCGGAACAAGGAAGGCGGTGATTCCCTCTGTTGTAGGGAGGGGCCATGAGTTGGAATTAACAACATTAACAATATGTGTAAGATTCCCCCCCCCAAAATTCATCATTCTTTGGACAACTGATTTCTAACAAAGGACCAATGTATTTTCAGTGGGGAAGGAACTGTCTTCAACAAAAGGTTAACTACATATGGAATGCAGAGCCCTGGCGGAGCTGTTAACCACAAGGTCAGCAGTGCAAACCCGTCAGACACTCTGAGAAAAATGAGGCTTTCGGCTCAGGTAAAGATTTAAACCCTAGAAAGTCAAAGGGGGCAGTTCTACTCCAGCCTACAAGGGCACCATGAGTTGGAATTTTTTCGGTGGCAGTTTTGAGTGACTTGCAGTAAAATGAAACATGAGCCACAGCTCATGTCACACTATACACAAAAGCAAATTCAAAACTGTTTAAAGGTCTAAATGTTAAGATAAAATCATAAAGTTCTTGGAAGAAAACTAGAAGCATAACTATGGGGCCTATTTTTTTTTTAAAATGACAGCCCACTGCTACTGAGTCAATTCCGACTCACAACTTTCTAACACGGATAGAACTGCTCCATAAATTTCCAAGGCTGTAAATCTTTATGGCATTACTTCATGCTATGTAAATACGACTATCAAGAAAACTACTAAAAAAAAAGAAAGAAATCCAACTTGACCTATGGTTACCATGGGTGAAGGAGAAAGTTTTTGCTTGGCGGGCATTGAGTTTATGTTAATGGTGGTGGAATAATTTGAAAAGGGTATCAATAATGGTTGTGCAACATGAAGTGTATAATCAATAGCATGTATACATGTAGAAGTTGTTGAACTGGAGAATGTTTTGTTGTGTATATTTTTGCCACAATTAAAAGATAATAACTACATAATAACAATGAGTACAAAGAAGAAAAAATGTTTTAGAATTGATTGTGGTGACAATTGTACAATTCTTCTTTATATGACAGAATTATTGGATTGTATGATATGTGGATGAAGTGCCAATAAAACTGTTCAAAAAAGATGTTTGCAACCTTTAGCAACTAAAAACAAATAAAGCAAGCAAACAAAAACCCCACAGCCATCAAGGTGATTCTAACTCAGAGACTGGCATACAGCTTCCAAGGTTGCAATTCGTACAGCAGCAGGCTGTCACATCTTCCTCCCACACAGTGAGTGGACTGAGTGGCTGATGGGTTCAAACTGCCTGCCATTCAGTTAGCAGGTGACTTAGCCTCGGTATCACCTGGGCTCCTTCTGTATCCATCAAGTTGATGCTGACTCATAGTGACCCTCCCTCAGCTGTGATGCTTTCTGGGAGGAGCAAGTGGCAGGTTTACAGTGCTAATCTGTGGTTGTCAGCCCAATGCCTACCCAAAAGCACTACCAGTGCTCTTCTTTAGCCATTATCCAAAAAACTCAATGTCGTGCAGTCAATGGTGACTCAGAATTGCAGATCATAAAGACAAGATATCATGTCACCCCTGCTAAAATGATGATAATTTTCAAAAACCAAAAACTAGAACGCTTAACCACTACTGGTGGAGCTGTAAAATGGTACAACCACTAAAAAAAATGGCGTGGCGCTTACTCAACTAACGATTTTATAAATCAGTAATCAGACCAAAACAAATCATCAAATACACTGCTATCGCGTCAACTAACAGTGACCTTACAGGGCAGGGCAAAACTGCACCTTAGGGTTCCGAGACTCAATATGGGCACAATCAGTCTCATTTTCTCTTGAGGAATGACTGACTGGTCTGAACCATGGACCTTGTAGTTAGTTCAACACCCAATCCACTGCGTCACTCATAAGTACACCCTCCAGACTTAATCGAAGTGACCTAAACAGAGAGACAGACAGAAGCCTATGATTATCAAAAATAATTATAAATTCAAGAATGTTTTTGCTTGTTTCTTTGTTTTTATGTTAAACAGCAGCCTACAGATTGGGAAAAAAGTTTGGGGGAATGATATATCTGATAAAATGAAAATATATTATTATAGAAAACACACAATTTCTAGAAAATATATGAAAAAATCTAAGTGACCATGGGTTTGACAATGATACAACACCAAGAATATAATCCATAAAGGCAAACACTCTGAAGCTGAGTGTATTTAAACCCACTTGTCAGTTAGTAGCTAAGCATTAACCATTTGCTCCACCCCGGAACTCTTACATATTTGCTCGAATGGTTGAAACTCAAAACAGGCTGATGGTTTTGGGGATTCTCTGTTCCTACTTCTAAGATGACTTTCTTTGATACCCAGCAGAATGGTAAAACCGGCCAATCCCCAAGTTAGTCTTCTATACCTTATCTGCATGCTCCCACGCATTTGGTGGACATCACAAAGACCATGGCTTGGAAGAACCATACCCAGTCATTTCACTTCACCACAGGTAAATAAATACATGGCATTAGGCATTTGTCAAACTCATGGGAGTCTACAACACAAAGGGTGAACCCGAAGGTAAACTATGTTGTTAGCTGTTGTTAAATCAGCCTAGTCCCATGGTAACAACTTGTTCCTATGCCAGCCGAATCACTGTGGATAAGATCACTGTGAGGGACTTTCATTGATTTTTGTTAGGAGATTACCAGGCCTTTCTTCTCAAGTTTTTCTTAAGCTGGAAGTTCTGCTGAAATCTATTCAACATCAAAGCAAAGTATAATTTATCGCTGACAGCTAGATGGTGGCTACATAAAGTGCACTGGCCAGGAACCAGACGCAGGTATCCCACAAGGAAGGCAAATATACTACCACTGAACCTGTGGACTTTAGGACCAGGTAGAAACTGCCCTTGTGAGTTTCCAAGGCTGGACATCTTTATATAAAGGAGCAGAATGCCTCATCTTTCTACTCCCATAGTCACTCTGATTCAGAATCAACCCAACGACAGTGAGACACAATGGACTTCAGTTAATAATAAATATCGATTCTAAAAAATGTACCAAAGGAATCCAAGAGTTAATAGGAGAAATAATATATAGAGAGGTGCAGGTATATGGAAAAGTTGTACTTTCTGAATAATTTTTCTATCAATCTAATACTGCTCTAAAAAAAAAATCATTGAACATTTTCTATCTGAAGAGCCCAGAATCTGCCATGAGGAAGATACAAGCTCTAATTTCAGCTCCACTATTTATAAACCGGTCAAACGAACCTCCTTCTAAGCCCTGTTGTTGTGTGCAACTGAATAGATTTCAACTCATAGTGGCAGTAGAGGACAGGGCAGAACTGCCCCATCGGGTTTCCTAGCCTGTCATCTTTG